AAGGGCGGGATGCTCTGCTCCTGTGCCTGCTCGGAGGCGGGGCACAGGGTCGAGGAGATGAGCGTGGCAAACTCGGTGGAGCCGGTGGAGGCGGCCCTCTTCAGCTGGTCGGCCAGGGGGTACTCCGAGGGCAGCTCGCGCAGGTAGGGCAGGATGCCCTCGGGGTAGGGCACGGTCCAGCGCAGCTCCTCGATGGTGACTGTGGCCCGCACGGCGGTGGGGGCGATGAGGAAGGCGCTGATGGGCCGGTACTCGTAGACGACCTCCGTGACGGGGCTCACGTGGTTGTGCGCCTGGTAGTGGGGCAGGGGGTCGCCCACGCACCCGCAGCTCTCCACCGTCTCTCTGAGGGGGCCGCGGGCGACCAGCTTCCTCCTGCCGGGCTCCTCCTCCTGCTCCTCCTCATCCACTACGTTGGTGATGAAGTTGCCATCTTCGTCAAAGATGTGCAGGCCCTGGTCGGGCGGCGTGTAGAAGGCGATGCCAATGTCAGGGTCCGAGAACGAGGCGGCCATCTGGAAGGCGTAGAAGCAGCGCGAGTGGATGGTCGCGTTGAGCTCGAAGGTGGTGGACCAGGTCGAGAGGTCGGGCGCCAGGAAGGGCAGCTCGCCCACGGTGGCCGACAGGGCGCCGTCGTTGGCCGCGGCGAAGCTGGCCGCGATGGGTCCCTGGTCGAAGCTGCCAAAGTAGGCCATGGCCTTGAGCTCCTCCGAGTCCTCGCCGACGGTGAAGAAGGCGCTGTTGACGGACTGGCCGAAGCCCACCCAGCCGGGCACCAGGGCAGGGTCGTTGGCCGCCGGCAGGGGGCTGTTGCCGTTGGTAATGTCGAACCGCACGAGGCGCAGGCCCGCACGGCACTTCTGCATGAGGGGCGTGCACAGGGCGTTCTCCTCCTCGTAGAGGGTCGAGAAGCGGAGGTAGGCCATGATGGACTTGTTGCGCTGGACCTGCTCGGCCTCGCACCAGGTCACGTTGCGCTGCAGCTCCTCGATCTCGAAGCGGTGGGTCGAGACCAGCTTGCGGCACTCGGACAGGGCCAGCTCAAAGTTGACGCCGCGGCGGGCCTTGGTCGAGAGCGAGGCAGCCTTGGCTTCGGCGCTGTACTTCATCGCGCTGAAGGTGCTCGAGTCGAACTTGCTGATGGAGCCCCGGAACTTGCTCTCCAGCAAGGCGAAGGGCGAGAGCGAGGCCGGCTGGCTACGCTCGGGCTGGGCGGCCGACTGCGGCGACCTGCGCACGTTGGCGTAGAACACGCGGGCGTCGTTCTCATCGTTGCAGTCGGTGAGATTGTAGAGGCAGGCGATGGCGAGGGAGTGGTTGCGGTTCCTCCAGAGCTCGTGGAGGTTGTCCTCCTCGACCAAGGGGGCGAGGCGGGCGAGACATTCGTCGCGCTGGTACTCCAACTCGGACTCCTCGCGCAGCAGGGCCTTGAGATCTTCGAGGCACAGGTCCAACTCGACCTCTTCATCCTCTTCCTCCTTCGCTTCGATATCTACCAACTCTATCTTCCCCTTCTTGTTGTGAAGGTTTGACGATTCGTGTTTGTAGTGGTTACCGTTGTTGCCAGCGGGCCGGTTCAGGTCCACCTTCTTGGCCCAGCTCGCCTTCTCGAACTCCATGGCGCTTGCGCCAACGAAGGCGACAAGGATCACCAGGGCGATGATGCCTGGCAGAGTGGATCCCATCGTCTTCATCTTTCCGCTGGCTTTCTAAACCACCTTTTGCCATGTTGCTTTTTTTGGAAGGTTTGCTTTTTGTTTGGCAAAACGAAACCTATTTTGCAAGATGCATTGTGTAAATTGTAAAAACTAGTACAAATGAATGCGCTAACACAGTGATTTGTGTTAAAAGCGCAATCACGAGCACCAGGGAAGCCGATCGTTCATGCTGAAGTAGAACGCCTGCACGAGTAGGTACGCAGACCAGTACAGCTCTAACAATTTTTATCTTGATTTTCAAATTTCCTCACAAAATGCGCATCAGAAACAATGTTGGGCATGAACAAGGTCTTTCAGGCCGTGCGCACGAAGGTGTCTGCCGACAAGCATCGGTACCAGCTCGGCGGCTATGACCTTGACCTCACCTACATCACCGAACGGATCATCGGTCCGCCCATTCCCCATTTCACGATTTTATTCATGATATAATATTACATCGCGTGTAGAATTAAATTAAATTAATTCGTGTCCACGCTGCAGCGATGGCATTTCCGTCGGAGGGCTACGAGAAGGTGTACAGAAATAACATTGACGACGTGACCCGCCTACTGGGCGAGAAGCACAAGAGCCACTACATGATCTACAACCTCTCCAATCGTGCATACGACTATGAAAAGTTCGACAACCACGTACGCCCCCACTTCTCCTGACCACCTCATACGACGAGGAGGCAAC